CCGAGTTGAACCCAAGTCTGTATAGCTCCAACACCTATTTGCTTTATACCCATATAATGACTGTAAATTCCTTTCCTATATATATATACTTTTTTTTGGATGGTGTTTAGGTTTATTTTTTAATTAATTTTTATTGGCGTATAGTTGATTTACAATGTTGTGTTAGTTTCTGCTGTACAGCAAAGTGAATCAGTTACACATATATTAGATTCCTTTCCCATATAGGTCATTACAGAGTATTGAGCAGAGTTCCCTGTGCTATAAGGTAGGTTCTTATTAGTTATCTATTTTATATATAGTAGTGTGTCTATGTCAGTCCCAATCTCCCAATTTATCCCTCCCTCCCTTTCCCCCTTGGTAACCATAGGCTTGTTTTCTACATCTGTGACTCTGTTTCTGTTTTATAAATAAGTCCATTTGTACCTTTTTTTTTAGATTCCACATATAGGTGACATCCGTGACATGGCAGTGATGCCAATGTCTCTGACGGTGAAGTCAGTGTAGCTCTAGGCCCTGCCCACTGAGCAGCTAGATCAGGACTCAGCCCAGTTCTATGTGACGGCCTCTGCCAAGTCACCCCTGACCACTCTGCCACACAGCTTAAGGAGAAACAGCAGCTTGGTATTTGCAGGTCTGCTAATTCCACTTATAGGAAGCTTGAAATTGGAGACACTTGGGAGCGTTATCCAGAATCTTTTTTTTTTTTTCTTTTTTTTGTGGTACGCGGGCCTCTCACTGTTGTGGCCTCTCCCGTTGCGGAGCACAGGCTCCGGACGCGCAGGCTCAGCGGCCATGGCTCACGGGCCCAGCCGCTCCGCGGCATGTGGGATCTTCCTGGACCGGGGCACGAACCCGTGTCCCCTGCATCGGCAGGCGGACTCTCAACCACTGTGCCACCAGGGAAGCCCCAGAATCATATTTTTATTTTATTTTACAATCTTACTCCCCAGTAGCTTCCAGAAGGCTTACAGCCTTCCTTGTAACTTTTATTTCTAAGGCATTCCTGACTAAGTCAGAATTCGTTTGTAAGTTTGAACAGAATTAATGGGGCACTTGGGGCACAGAATAAATCCCCCCCTTTTGTGTTAAGTTGGAAAGCCTCTGTGAAATGAGATTATTCCAGACACATGGTAGAGCTCCATAAATCCATTGCTCAGAGATTACATGAGCTCATGCTTCCATCGTTCAGCAGAGGCGTTTGTACAGTGATTCTTCTCAACAGAATGAAGGAAACTTCATGGGATTCTCTTGAAGTCATCCCTTCCAAACAAAATAGGATTGGAACAACCAGCAAAACTGTGAAACATTTGGATTCTCATCAGAATTCAACTCAAGCTTTTTTCACAGACACATCTTTTGGCCTGGCTGAGAAGGTGGCCAGGCAGTGAGCAGCCTTTTAACAACTTGCATGTATTCAAGTTTCAGAGTTAAAGGAACAAAAGTAATTTGGGGAATGATTGCCCAGACTCCTTAGTGAAGGTTTGTGTCTTCTGTTCTGACTTGGTCTGATTTGTAGAGGTGCCCTTGTGCCTGGGAAAACCATGTGTAATCATAGTGGTGACAGTCCCGTGTCTGGCACTCCACATTTCGCAGCAGGTCCCACTTGCACATTAGTGCATTTGATCTCAAGAATAGCCCTTCAGAGTTCTTCAAAAGCCTGGACCTGGCTCACACTGAGACCCAGAGAGCCGGCCTTCAGGACTATAGCTCTGGCCCGTGGTGAAAGTCTCCATCTCCTAGAACTGATTCTAGTATGCTCCAGTAGCTTTCCTTTTAGAGAAAACAGCCGATGAGCAGAATGTAATTCTCATGTGTTCCCATGTCTCCTCCCGTTTGCCCGTGTATAAACACTGTTTTGAAAGCAATTTTCCACGCATCTGTCTAAATCCATGGTCCTTCCTCACGACTCACTCTTCTTTGTTTCTCCAGCATCTGCTACAGTTTTAGGAAAGAAGAAATGCTCACCTTTCTGGTGACAGTTGAAGTGAAAATGCATATTCGTTCTCTTTCTTCACATTGTGGTTGAGTGAGGATCTCATTCTCAGTAGCTCTTTAGGAAAAGAGACAAACTGACACAACGTTGTAAAGAAACTATACTCCAATAAAAAGTATTTAAAAAAATAAGAGAAAAGAAACGAAAAAGAAAAAATAAAAGGAAAAGAAAAAATTTGGAGGCCAGACATAAGGAGGTGGGGACCTATCAGTGTGTCTGAATTCATTTCCAGATGTTTTTTAGCTCGGGTTGCCGAACATGCTGTACTTAAGGCCAGAGGCAGAAGGGTGCTAAGGGATATCATTATTTGTTGAAATCTGTACTTGTGGGTTTGGGCACTGGCTTCTGTAGTGTAGATTAGCTGGAGAAGACGAGCTGAATGCTGAGGACTGCTGCAGAGGTGGGGAGTGGAGATGTTAGAAACTACAGCCCTAGGGTCCCATCCCAGCCCCTCTCCTGCTAAGCCGTGTGGCATTAGGAAATCTCTCCTTGTGGAATGGTTATCCTGCTTAGCACCTTTGACTTAGAGATAAGTCATGTAAAGTACCTTGCACAGTGGCTGGCAGGGGCAAACACTCCTATCTAGGAGCAAGTGCCAGTGGTAATGGTGCACGGGGTGTCACTTAGGAGCAGCCCTGGCTCAGCATTGTTGGAGGACAGAACAAAGCGGGAGAGAGATTCTGAGAAGCTTAGTGGTCCTTGAGCTCAACAACAACCATAATTTCTCTTTTCTTCCCTTGAAGATGCTCAGAAGGAGCCTGGTGACTTGTGTAACACTGGTACTTATTTTTAGGGGTTCCAACTCCTCTGGAAGCCAAAAGGTTTTGTTTTGTTTTGTTTTGTTTTGTTGTACGCGGGCCTCTCACTGTTGTGGCCTCTCCCGTTGTGGAGCACAGGCTCCGGACGTGCAGGCTCAGTGGCCATGGCTCACGGGCCCAGCCGCTCCGCGGCATGTGGGATCCTCCCGGACCGGGGCACGAACCCGTGTCCCCTGCATCGGCAGGCGGACTCTCAACCACTACACCACCTGGGAAGCCCAGCCAGGAGGTTTTTGTTGTTTTTGTTTTAGGTCCCCTTCTCTCCTTACTTCCTCTCCCCAGTTGAACTCAGCTATGTAGTGATTCAATTTATTTTGTTGAAAATTCAGTCCCCTAGGGAAAATATGATAATGCTGTTTTCAGACAGCTGTGTTTGGGAGCAAGACTGACTGAACCAGCTGGCTGGCATCATTGGAGCCCAAGGACCTGCCAACTCATGGAGAGCAGCTGTTTTGGCTGAAATTCTTATCATTCTTATGACTTTGCTTCCTATGTCTCAGCTTCTGAGTTCTGCTTTTAAATGCACACACAAAGGAGAGAAAGCCGTGAGAAAGACTCTGATGTGTCTAGGGCCACCCATAGGTGAGGGGAGTGGAGATGCCACCACTGTGCTCTCATTACTCGTGATCGTTGGGAAAGGGAAAATCCAGAAGGAGGCCAGCTCCAGAGAGTAAGAGATGATAATGAGTGGATCAGTGAATATTGATATCTTAATACAGTGGGTGTGTTATACAACCAGGAAGAATCAGGTGTAAAGATTTTCTTCATGAAGGGGGAAATGTTACAATATAATGTTAGAGAAAACAAAACTGTATAAAGAATAGAATTCCAATTATGGAGAAGTGTGCTTTAACATTAAATGAGATAACTCATACAAAGCACTTGACGTGGTAGGTACTCAGTAAATCACAGCTACTAGATGCAAATTCTCTAACCACAGGAGACGTGTTGGCCTCAAGCACTGTTTTACCCAGAGTGCCTGGTATAAAGGAGATGCTGAAAAGATCTTTCTAGATTGAATGAATTAGTGTTGTTGTTATTATATGCATTTTAAAAGGAATTGAGAAAATCTAGGGACATAGGTTTCTATGTTATCATCTGTAAGTGTATCTATAATTGTGGCAGCTTAACCTCTCTGCCTCAGTCCTTCATTATAAATGGTGAGGACAGTACTTGAAGTTCAAGGTCACTCAGAACTGAGTGAGCTACATGGAAAATACACGCAGTGACTGGTCCCTAGGGAGCCGACCTTGCGTGGCAGTGACTGTAATCATGGTAAGCGCCATGTAAGTGGTAGCTATTATAATAATTCTGTCGTACTTGGATCTGTAGGAAAAAAGATGAGCATTGTCATGATTTTTATGTAATTTTCTTCTCAGTTTTTACCATAGACTTTTTTTTTGCAATGAAAGCTTAAAAGAAAAAACCTCATATGAAAATAAAACTCAAATGCTAACAGTGGTTACCTCTAAATAGTGGAATTGGGAGAATTTTTCTATTTTCTTCTTGACGCTTTTCTACGTTTTCCAAACTGTTTGTAGTATGTATGTTACTTCTATCATCAAGATTTGGGGGAAACAACCTTTTTCCCCTCTTTTAAATAAGAAAAAGAATGCTCAGCATCAAAGATAACACAGAGCTGCTGAACTAGATGCTCCATCTGGGGCTGCTTGAGGACTAGAAGATGCTGCCCTGTTCTGGGCTTCTTTGGGGGGATGTTATTTAAATGCACGTTTCACAGCCTCAGAAAGTTGTGAAGCAGTTGTTAAGAACTGGGAAACAGAACCAATGAGGAAAAGTAAAGTAGTTTTAGTTCATCCATTCTGGACAAAGGTGGTCAAAAAACTTGAAGCCCTCTTCGCAGACAATGGCTTACGTTTAGCACAGCAGCTCTCCATTGGCTCCGGAGAGAGAACAACAAAAAGCAGATCTGTGGAAATGATAGCAGAAGGGGTGAGAAGTGGAAGTGAATGGTTCCCGAACCTTGGGATGCGCTTCCAAAGGAGGATGTTTCATGCCAATTCCTAGAGATGTTTAAAATAGAGTCCTGAGCAAATCCTGGAGGTCTTTTTCAGTCTTTTTCTTGCTGATTCTTAGACTCCATCAAGCTTTTCGGTCGTACTGTCTGGACCTGTGCTGTCTGCCCAGTGCACAGTAGCGTGTAACCTTTTTATGAAACTATTTTGCAGATATTTAACACCGTGCCTGACGCGCCCCTCACCAATGCCCAGCTGCACCTGTCTCGGAAGAAGAGCAGTGACTCCAAGCCCCCATCCTGCAGCGAGAGGCCCCTGACGCTCTTCCACACCATGCAGTCAACAGAGAAACGTGAGTGCCACTACTCAGGGCCAACGTGGTCCCCGGGGGACATCCAGGCCTCCTCCCAGCTGCCCGGGGTGCTCACCTCCAGCCTCTCTGTGTGCGTTGCTGCCTTTTGTGTCCTTGAGGACACTGTATCGGCCATTGTACCCTCCCGGGTTCCGTGGCTGAGTAACCTCGACAGGACAGGAAGCAGGGGTGCTGAGGATGAAAGGGAGGGCCACGCCGCCCAGGATCCTCTTTCCCAGTCCCCTGTGGGCAGACAGCTGAGCCCCTTTTCCTCCAGCTGCACGATCAGATCTAAGCTCAGGCGTCGCTTATTCGGCCCGTCTGTTGTTAGCGGCTCCCCTAGAACCAGTTTCCCTTCCTTTTCTCGGGTTGTAACTCGGTGCTTATTTGTGCGAGTCACACGCCCCACTGCAGTGGGGCTCTCTCTGCACAGGGGCCTTGTTTGGCTTGCTCGTCCTTCCCCTCCACCTCTCCTGGGCCTGACACACAGTGGCTGCTTAGTAAATGTGTGGAATTAATTCACGGGTTAATAGGAGAGCATTGCCCTCCTTGTTCCAAGTAGCAGAGTGTTCTCACCACAGCTGTATCGAATCTTGTTTTCACCTGTGCATTTCTGAGTTCTTTGCAGCAGTTGGGTTACTGGGCCCTCAAATCTCCAGTCTGGTTTCAGCCTTTGTAATGAGGAAGTCCAGGGGTGGAGGGTGGGAGTCGAGGGTCCCAGCTGTGCCCGAAGGCAGGCAGCCCTGGGTCCCTGTGCCGGTGACAGCATTCAGGCAAGCCTCCTACCTTCTCTCAACCTCAGTTTACTTGTCTGTAAAGTAGGGATAATAGGGCCTACCTCACAGGGAAATGGTGCGGATTCAATGACCTTATGCAGCTAGGCAGCTGGCAGAGGCCTAGACGTGGCAAGGGCCATCGATGGAGAGCTGCTGCTACTATTATTAGTTCCTGTTTAATCACACGCAGACACCAGGGAGTATAGAAACGTGACCTCGTCTGTAAGGAGCTCACATTTGAGTAAAGGAAGTAGACAAGTGAATAGGTAATGGTAAGTCGGCAGGATAACTGCTCTCAGATGTGTGCGTTCAGGGAGCCAGGAGAACGCGGTGGCTGAAAGCACTCATGGGCACCGGGCGCCTGGGTGAGAGTCCTGCTTGGCTGCTCTCTGGCTGTGTGACGTGGGCCAGTTATCTGCCATTGCATGGCCTCAGTCTCCTCTTCCAGAAAACAGGGATAACAGTTTCCTTATAGGCTTGTTGTGAGGAATAAAGCACTTCAGATGGTTCTCAGTAAATGCTGGGAGGTGTGGCGGTGCCATTATTATTATATACTTATTATATTTTTTATGTATTTATATGTTTATTTTTATATATTTATATAAATATGGTATTTATTGTATATATATAATATTTATAATATTCTCTATGAGTTACAGTAAAGGCGCAAATCAGAAAAATGACCCACTTTGCTTTGAAGAGAAAAGAGACTCCATATCTGGATTTGTGTCTCTATCTTTGTTACAGAAAATGTTTTTTATCCCTTTGTCATTCAGAAGTAATGGCCTCCCTTATCATTACTCCTGAACACAAATCTTCCCCACCCTCGGAGGATCACTGCTTTTAAAGAGGTCGTCATATCCCATAATATGGCTGCACGTTGGTGCAACCGCTGAGGTTGTTTCAGATATGTTGCTTTTATGAGTAAAGCCACTGTAATCATCCTCATAGCTAAATCTGTTCATATTCATGATGATTTCCTTATGATCAATTCCTGGAAGAATTTCTAGGTCAGCAGATATGCACAGTTTTAGGGCTTTGACCCATACTGGGATTGGCTTCCCATCGAACAATAGCCTGTGTTCCCCTTAAGTATCTGGCTGGGGTCGTTCTTGCTGTGGTCTGTAACAAAGAACACTTGGAACAGGCCTGGCCTCACCCACATCTGCCACAAACACAGCATCGAGCTGTGGGGTGAGATGCTTCTCATGTTTCCACGACAGCCACAGTCACTTAAGGTTTTGTACTAAGCAATGTACAGTGCAGATCAGGACAGATCAGACGATATTGGTAAATTCCTCTAAGACTTGAAATAGTGCCGAGTTTATGGTTAGATGGAAACAGAGGCAGCTCTGGATCAGGTCTTAAAGCATATTCTGGGAGCATGTAAGAAAGAAGATGGCGATTAGGAGAAAATCAATTAGATCCTTGCCCAAGATTAATTTTATCACACGAGGCAGCAGGTGAAAGTTAAGGATGTGTGAAAGCAGACGTGCCTAAGCTGCAGATCAAGCCGTCCCTGTCTGCACACAGGGGACAGGAGGATGGGAGACGGGAAGACAGTGAAGCACTACATCTTCCCTCTGAACACGAGGAGACGCTCCCTGGAAATGGGGCTGGAATCTCCATATGCGCAGATATTTGTGGGGTGCTCAACTTTCCTCCCTTTCTCTGCAGAAACATTTTCATTGGAAGGCACGTAGGGGTGCGTGTATACATATACTTTTTAGAGTTGATTTTAGAAACCCTTATTTTCCTGGGAAATTAGAGTAATGTCCAGGCTGGCCTGGAAAGGCACCATAGGAGGAGGAGCTGGAAGGTTCTGCCAGCTCTCGCCCCTCCTAGGTTGCGGTGCAGCCACTCGCCACCGTTAGATGAGCAGGTCACAGTGTACTGTTTTCACACACAAACCCTCCCCTGTGGTCTATGGACAAAGATAGAAGACTATCAAAGCACTTCACTGAGTTTACTCCTTGGAGTTAAAATGCTGGGGAAGACTGCAGGTAATTTGTGGGGGGAAAAAAATGCTGTATTTCCATACAGTGATGTTTTTCAGATTAAGGCCTCTTTCCATACCTAGCTCAGTACTTCCCAAACTTGAATCATTTACATAGGCCTTCATTCACTCTTTGGGCTACAAAAACATAACTTTTGCACTGTTGTTTGTTTAATATATTTATATAAATCGATTTGAAAGCAGCTCACTTCTTTACACGGCCTCATCCTACTCAGTAAAATTTCTACAACATGAATTTTATTGTCTCACTGTATTACTCTCTAATATACATTAAAATAAATATGAAACTGTTCAGCTAAAAAATGTTCATCCACATTTGACCTTAAAATTGTCGTGTGTCCACCTGTGGAATACATACCACAGTTTGGAGTCCACAGAGCTTGCTCTAAATTTCTGACTGGCTCAGATCCTTCTTCTTAACCTAAACACACAAACTCAAGATTCCTTTGTCTGCTCAACTGGAACTGGGTTCAGATGTTGTCCATTAGCTATTTATATCACTGTGGACACTCGCCGTTCATCTGTCGATTTCATGTCGTGCACTCTGGGTTCGTTGTGACACCTCTCCAGGTTTCACATGACCTTACCTTTCTTCAGATTCTTGCCATAGAGTAGATATCGTGTTACAGGGATCGCACCTGTGAGAACACACACAAACACGTACACCTACACGATATCTCCATGTACCTCTCTTCTACCTTCAGACTTCGTATGATACTCTCAGAACCTCATTTCCTATTATGTCTGTGTGCCTACTCCCTTTTGAGTTCAGTTATGTTTTTCCTCCTCATTGGCATACTTGCAGTTTAATATTTGTTCTGTGATCCATGGGTCAGCCCTCTCTTCAGCCCCTAGTTGACATGCTTGATGAGCCCAGAACTCCCAGAGTAGTTCCCTTGGGTGCTTCCCACCAGCACACGTTTCCCCTTCACCTCGCTGCAGTGCCCCTGCCCTGTGCAGAAGTTGGAGCCCATTCTTATCTCTTAGAAGTGAATCTGTGCCAACGCTCTGGCCTCAGATTGTCATGGAAGTATCTGGCATGTTAGTTGATGCTCACTGATGTGTGCTTTATTTTCCAGAAGGAGTTTTTCATTCCGTGTGGGTAGACCAGTTGTGTGCCCAGGCACCTCTGTAAGACTCGTCCACTTTAATCTGAGAGTGGTAGTGGAGTCTTCTCCAGATGGCTTTTTCCTTTTCCCAGTGTTATCTCATCTCATCCTTATAATTGGTAATCACCCCATGAGGTAGGTCCTCATCATCCACATTTTACAAACAAGTAAACCAGGGCTCGAAGGGTTAAGCAGCCACACAGCTGGCGAACGGCAGAGAAGGGATTTGTACCCAAGTCATGCCCCTTCCCCATGCCATGTTGCCACTTCTTGAGCTGCCAAAGTGAAAACCATGCTAGACTGAGTTAAGGAAGCAATAAAAACCATCTGTCCCAGAGTCCAGCGTTGCCACGGAGGCAGTTGAACCATATTGAATGGGTTCCTCAATACGTGTGGTGGCAAGCAGCAGCCACACGATGACCCCCCCCCCCATGTCACCCCAGCTCTGCAGCAAGCAGTGTGCATTCAGCAGTCACTTAATATGCTGGGCCAAGGCAGTCACTCTCGTTTGTGATCACTTTAGAACAGATGGAAGGAGGTTTTTCAACTGTGCTGCCAGATGAATGGTAGCAAAGGAGATTACTGTTTAATCTCCAGGTTAACACGCAGATACATCATGCAGCAGAGATTGGACTGGTATGTCTAGGTGAAAGCTATACTTTTTCCAGGCAACTGCAGAAGGTAGAGCCAGAGGATTAGAGGGAACCAAGCACCCAGGTCTTGTACTTTTTAAGATTTCTTCCAAAAGGTTGCAGGGTGACACGTATCACTTATTTTGTCCCGAATTTTTAGTACTTAACACAGGCATACCCCTTTTTATTGCACTTCGCAGATACTGCGCTTTCCACAAATTGAAGGTTTGTGGCAACACTGCGATGTCAGATGATGGTTAGCTTTTTTTGGCAATAAAGTTTTTTGTAATTAAAGTGTGTATATTGTTGTTTTAGACGTAGTGCTATTACATACTTAATAGACAACAGTGTAGGGTGAACATAACTTTTATATGCGCTGGGAAACCCAAAAACTCATGTGACTTGCCTTATTGCAATAGTTGCTTTATTGCAGTGGTCTGGAACCAAACCCAAAATATCTCCAAAG